AACGAATGCGGAAGTGTTAGCACAACGCAGTTGATGTAGTCGTACGTCTTCATGATCCGACCGATCCAAGTACCGAACGCATGGCACCTCCGAGTTCTGCACACGTTCAACTCAATGACATCACGTAAGTTCCGATCCAGGGAAGCTTCACATGAGAGTTTCGTCAGCACGACGGTGTGGTGACGGTGATGATGATGTTACCGATGCAGGGCTTCGCCTAAGCACCGCTACGATATGATCGAGGTGGATTATGGTGGAGGGGGCACCGCACACGGCTAAGAGATAAATGATCAATTGTTGTGTCTATGGGGTGCCCCCCTGCCCCTGTATATAAAGGAGCAAGGTGAGGAGGCGGCCGGCCAGGGAGAGGTGTGCCAAGAGGGGGAGTCCTACTCCCACTAGGAGTAGGAATCCTCCTTTTCCTAGTAGAAGTAGGAGAGGGGGAAGGAAAGGGAGAGGAGGAGAAGGAAAGAGGGGGCCGGCCCCCCTTTCCCTAAACCAATTCGGTTTGGGCCTTTGGGGGGCGCGCCCACACTCCCCTTGCTGCCCTCTATTTCCACTAAGGCCCATGTAGGCCCATTAAGCCCCCGGGGGGTTCCGGTAACCCCCCGGTACTCCGGTATATGTCCGAAACCTTCCGGAACCTTTTCGGTGTCCGAACATGGTCGTCCAATATATCGATCTTTACGCCTCAACCATTTCGAGACTCCTCATCATGTCCATGATCATATTCGGGACTCCGAACTACCTTCGGTACATCAAAACACAAAAACTCATAATACCGATCGTCACCGAACTTTAAGCATGTGGACCCTACGGGTTCGAGAACTATGTAGACATGACCGAGACACGTCTCCGGTCAATAACCAAAAGCGAAACCTGGATGCTCATATTGGCTCCCACATATTCTACGAAGATCTTTATCGGTCAAACCGCATAACAACATACGTTGTTCCCTTTGTCATCGGTATGTTACTTACCCGAGATTCGATCGTCGGTATCTCAATACCTAGTTCAATCTCATTACCAGAAACTCTCTTTACTCATTCCGTAATACATCATCCCGCAACTAACTCATTAGTTACAATGCTTGCAAGGCTTATAGTGATGTGCATTACCGAGTGGGCCCAGAGATACCTCTCCGACAATCGGAGTGACAAATCCTAATCTCGAAATACGCCAACTCAACAAGTACCTTTGGAGACACCTGTAGAGCACCTTTATAATCACCCAGTTATGTTGTGACATTTGGTAGCACACAAAGTGTTCCTCCGGTAAATGGGACTTGCATAATCTCATAGTCATAGGAACATGTATAAGTCATGAAGAAAGCAATAGCAACATACTAAATGATCAAGTGCTAAGCTAACGGAATGGGTCAAGTCAATCACACCATTCTCCTAATGATGTGATCTCATTTATCAAATGACAACTCATGTCTATGGTTAGGAAACATAACCATCTTTGACCAACGAGCTAGTCAAGTAGAGGCATACTAGTGACATTCTGTTTGTCTATGCACGCATGTACTAAGTTTCCGGTTAATACAATTCTAGCATGAATAATAAACATTTATCATGATATAAGGAAATAAATAATAACTTTATTATTGCCTCTAGGGCATATTTCCTTCACCAAAGAGTCTAACAGTAGCTTCACACAACCATGAGAGCATCTACACACGCGGCCGCCTCAAACCCGTCTCATACGTCCGGGCGGCCACCCGGTAACTGTCCGGGCGCGAAATTTCGACCCAGACGGGCTCCTTAAACGGGTCTCAAGCGCCCTGTTTGACCGGCACCTCTCATATACAACCTAAATATGGGTCAGATATGAGGGCGCCCGGGCGCGTCCGGGAACACCCGCCACGTCAGACCAGACAACCCGTCCTCATTGGAAATTGCACCAAATCCACCAATCCCTTCCTCCTCCTGCCGCCGCCCTCCAACCGTTCCCACGCCCGAACCCTCGCCGTCCACCACCCTTACTCTCAATCCCCACCACCGGCCTGATCCACCGTCGGAGATGGCGTCCAGCCCGTCCCAGACCGCCGCGACAGAGACGCGGTCCGCCTTGTCCGTTGGCGTCCTTTCGTCGGCTCCGACTTTCATGGTGGAGAACGTCGCCCGGAAGTTGCGGTGATGCCAATAGCAAAAGAGGAAGGCAGCGGCTGCGTCACAGGGAGGTTCGGACATGTGGGAGCAGTTGTCTCCTCCGCCGCGCCCGGAACCCTACACCCCTTCCACCCGAGCGTCGACGCGGATTACGTCGTCCGAACCCCGTTGGGAGAGAGGAGGATTCGATGGCCGGCTGGGCCATTTCAGAGAGCTTTCCGCCCACGCAGATGCCGGCGGTCGACGTATGTGACTCACCGCAGCTCCTTCGGGCGTAGATGAGCACGGGCACCGGCAGTGCTCGAGCTGCCCTCGACATGTTCGACGGAATGACCGAACAAGAGTCGGTACGTTTTCTTTGCTCCTGTCCAATTAGACTTTTGCATAGACAACTAGTTCATTTCGGACAATGATGGATCCAATATGCGGCACCGAGCAAAAGGACAACAAGTATTGGGAGAAAATTTAGGAGGAGTATCACAAACAAAAGGTGTATGTGGAGCTGCATCCTATCGTGACCACCCGCCAATGTGGCATCTCTTCAACATCGTTGTGGGATCATTCAAGGGGAAGTAAACAAGTACATCGGCTACTATTCACAAATGACCAAACTGGGATGAGAGTGGCAACTCACATAAGCTCAATTGCTTCATCTTGTCGTCATTTGTGTATGATCCTTGTGTTTGCATTCTCATACTCATACATATGTTGTTTGCTAGAAGGCGGTGGCGGCTACTTTGTATCACGAGGTGGAGAAGAAGCCGTTTGCTTTTAGCCATTGTTGGACCATATTGAATGGCAAGCCGAAGTGGAACCAACTTGTGGCGGATGTCAAGTCCTGCAAGAAGAGAAATGATGGCTCAAACTCCAACCAATCAATTGGGTTGGACGATGAAGAGGATGATATTTTCATGACGAATGGAAAAGCCACCGTGCCAAAGGATAACCGTCAAGTCATAGGACACACCTGGGAGAAGACACGTGCCTCCCGTGACGCCGCGACTACAAATATGTCGTCCACATGGACGGGTATTTTTCGGCGAGGGAGAACAAAGAGGATATGTACAAGCTCATGTTGGATGCGCAAAAGGAGTGGGACTGGAAAAGGGCGGAGAAGAAGCTCTAAATTGAGAGGGAGAAGATCGAGTTGGAGAAGTAAGAGGCGGCGATCAAATGGAAACTCGAGAAGGCCAAGACATTTGGTGACATAGAGCTTGAGAAGGAGAGGTTGCAACTCGCACGGGACGTGGAGGATGCGAGGATCATGATGGCGGACGAGACCTCTTGGATGAGCATGCGAAGAAGTGGCTTGCGGACAAGAAGAACGAGATCAACGACCGTAGGGAGTACGAGGTGACAAAGGCGGCTACGGCACGAATACAGGCGGAGGAGGCAGCCCGATGCAGGCGGACCAGGCAGCCCAGATGCAGAACGAGCAGAACGCATTCCGCCTGGAGCACGACGCATTCCGCTCGGAACAGGCGCCGGACGAGTGATCCGAAGCTATCTGTCACCCTCGGACATTGATTTTATTTTAGCGTGTCCGGTTTGTTAAACTATGATTTGCTTTGCTTTGTTTCGAACTGTTGAATTTGGACAATTTGTATCATATGATCGAAATGTATGGATTACATATGGATGTGTGGTGCAATATATGAGGGGTTGGCAGGCGCTGTCCACGGACGTGCTCGCGTGCGTATAGGGGATGGATTTGTCAGGTCTGGGTGTAGATGCTCTCACAGCTCTTCACGGACGAGGCTCCTCTGACGTACTGCAGGGTGCAGTTGGGCCACTGACAGGTGGGCCCGAAAGCAAGTTGGCCCACCTGTCAGTGACCCAACTGCACCCTGCAGTACGTCAGGGGAGCCGAGTCCGCTCTTCACGGGGAAGCAAGCAAGGCGCGTGCTTCCTCCTTCACTTGAAAATCCCAAACAATGTGAAACCATCTTTCCAGTCTGTGCCCAGATAGCCCCACTTCGGTCGGAACGGAGTGGTGCAGAGGTCAAATTCGGGCACCCAGAAGGACAGAACAGAACAGCGCAGATCCTTCACTTTCTCGACGAGGAAACACGAACGCGCGTCCACAGGTGACCCGACAAGACGGCCATCCACTTCAACGAACGCTCGCCGCTCGACCGGCCGCCCGCGGCGCGACGCGCTCCGGTGCGGTCCAAAAGCCGGCGCCGCATGCCCGGTCCAGCGCGTCCGTCGAGCGGAGATCTTGGCGTCTACTCGTTGCACCGATCGATCATCCGCCACCCGCCTTTGGCTGCCGTGCGGAGCCGTTGCGTTGCAGACGTGAAGTAGAACCTCCGCCTCTCCCTCCCTTTCCCGCCGCGAATCACGTGGAGTGGAGCACGTACTACGTACACAACCTGGACGGACAGCAGATGGGGGCAGAGCGAAAGGCTGGCCGCCCGCTGGTCCCAATCATCGCTCGCAATCACTCTCTGGCCATGGCCAGGGGGGCGTTGGATTGGACGGACCGATCAACCACCCAATGATAACAAAAACCACGAAGCGCCAATGCGTCCCAGTTGCTTGCTTCCGTTAAATAATCACGGCGAGGAGACGGTTGCTTTCCCCCCAAAATCGAATACCGGTAGCTCAGACGTCAGAAAGATCAGGCAGACCGGTTTCACTTTTGTAGTATCATGTATATTTCGTGTCAAGAAGAAGAACGGGGTAAAATTTTGGTATACAAACGGATGGGATTTTACATCGAGCCGAGCCGGCCGGAGCTCCGTATGCACAGTTGTTTGCTGATCAACACCACTCACTCACATTTTGTTATCTCTCTCGCGTCAAAGAATCGTGACACAGCCTGCCTAATCGGACCTTCTGGTTTGTACAAGAAGAGCGTGATTGATTCATCCTAGGAGGCCATCATGGCCGGCGGCACCACGCTGGAGGCGGGGCACTCGGCGCCCCGCTCCCCGTCGGCGGCGGACGCGGCCGCCCACCGCCGGCAGATCCTGCCCAGCGACGCGGCCTTCCGCCTGGCGCGGTCCGTGCCGGTGCCCATCAGCTCCCAGATCGCCCACTCCACGCCGGCCACGCCCATCACCTGCGTCACGGCCCGTGCGCCCAGCCGCCGGCACAGCAGCACCAGCGCCGCCGTCGCCGACTCCCGGGCCCACTCCGTGCCGCGCCGCATCTCGGCCACGAGCCGCGCCACCGCGCCGTCGATGCTCACGATCGCCTCCGCGCCCCCTCGCTTGGCCAATGCCGCCAGCACCGCCGCGGCCGTCTCCTCGTCGCTGATGGCCGACAGCGCCGCCTCGGCCACGCCGGCTTCCACCAGCTTCCCCACGTTCTCCCTCTCGCCCGCCAGCGACAGCAGCGCCGCCAGCGCGTCCTTCTTCGTGCTCGTGGGCCCGGTGCGCACGAGATGGACCAGCTTTTCCACGACGGACGGGTTCCGGCCGAGCCTGCGGCGGTACGTGTGCACAGACGCCAAGCTGAGCACGGCCGCCGCGGCGTTCTCCTTGGCGCGCCACGTCGTGCCGGAGCTCATGATGTGGGTCACCGCCTCCACGGCGCCGTCGGCGTGCATGATGCGCTTCTTGTTGGCCTCGAGGATGGAGAGGTTGAGCAGCGCGGTCACGGCGTTGAGCTGGAGCCCGGCGTCCTCGGAGTAGAGCAGGGGTACCAGCATCGGCACGGCGCCGGCCTCCCCGACGAACGCGCGGTTGTCTGAGCCGGACTTGGAGAGCAGCCGGATCTCGTGGACGACGCGGTTGGCCGCGTCGGGGGAGAATGAGACGGAGAGCTTCTTCACCAGAAACGACGCCGTCATGCGCGCCACCTCGAGCGCCGCCTTGTTGGCGGCCACCGCCTGGGCCTGCTCGCTCTTGCTGGCCTCGCACACCTCCATGGCCACGCCGTTCTCCCGGCACCACTTGGAGATGAGGTTCTTGAGAGACTTGTTGGGCACCAGCTCCAGATTGGCCAAGACCTGCCCCGTCTTGGGACACGTTGACTTGCCGGAGCTGAACCACCGGTCGATCGACTCGCGGTCGTAGGTCTGACCGCTAGCGGCGACGACGGGGTCGCGCATTAGATCGAGGGAGATGGGGCACCGGAGGTCCGGCGGGGGCGCCGGCGACTCCCCGTCGTCTTCGACATCGACGTCCGCCTTGGAATCCGACGGCCGGGGCGTGGCACTGAACAGGACGCACTTGGCGTACCGGAGCAGGCCGACGAGGGCGATCATGGCGGCAGTCCATCTCTCGGACGCCCGGTCGCCGATCTCCCGCTCGAGGCTCTCGATCTCGTCGCTGCAGCTGGCCGGGTCGTTGATGCCAACCTCCTCCAGGATCTCCTCGAGCCTCTCCCGCTCCGGCACGATCTCCCGCTCGATCTCCTCGATCAGCGACAGCACGGTGGCCTTGAGCGCCGGCTCCGGCTCGGCGGCCGACGCGCAGCGGCGGCACTGGCGCGAGGCGAGGGCGAGGAGGTCCATGACGTCGTCGGCGAGGCCGAGCTCGACGACGGGCAGCAGGTCGAGCAGCGTGGCGAGGTCGTGGTGCAGGTCGCGCAGCTCGGCGTCCGTCTCGTCGGACTGCAGCAGCAGCAGCGTGCGGCTCCGCGCGGCGCAGTCGGCCACGACGGCCTTGAAGCGCTGCAGCACGAGGAGCACCTCGCGGAGGCACAGCGAGGCCGACCGCGGCAGGCCGCCCTCGCCCGCGGCGCACAGCAGCAGGTCGTCGAAGGCGGCGGCGAGCAGCCTGGCGCGCCGCGAGACGGACGCGAAGGCGGCGCGCAGGAAGGGCGCGGGCGCGTCGGCGGCCGAGAGGTCGCGCGCCAGGCGGTGCAGCGAGCGGAGCAGGTCGCCGTCGCACGGCGACGCGGGCGGCGGCAGGAACGCCGACGCGTAGGACGTGGACGGCGCGGCGGCGGTCACCACCGCTCTCGGCTTGGCCATTTCCGGTGCGCACGGTGGCCGCTTGGGAGGCTCCCTGGGAGAGGAGGAAGGTTTGGCGGACGGACGGAAATGGTATTACGCGGGCGGGCGCGGGGGGTTTATAAACGGACAGGACGGAGTGGAGTGAGATTTTTGTTATTACTACTCCGACGATGTAATAATAAGCCGCTGGTTGGGTGGGACTTTGAGAGCTGGGAGGAAGGAATCCGCCCTGTGTCGCGGTGTTGATACTACGTATTATTTTATGGGTTTGTGAACGTCGTATCACGGGAATTATTTTAGTCGTGATTGTTATGCAACATGTGCTTACTTTAACGACGGTGATGATGATGTTGCTCTGGTTTTGGTTATGTATTATTGCGCCGGGGAAGATGGCTGGAAGGGCGGGGCGGGGGCCGTGGCGTGCTGGCCGTCGGATGGGGATGGGAGGTTGGGTTAATCTAGTTGGATGAGTGTGGTGAGTCAGCTCGAGGTGTTTTGGTTTTTGATCATCGGATCGTGTCGCGGCCCACGGGTTCGGCGGCTGGATAAGAGCGAGGACCTCTGCGTTGACGGCCGGCCGTAAAGCACGGACGGATGAGATGGGGCACACGAGAATGCCGTGGCAGTGCCATTTTTTGCTTTACCGGGAGAAGATCGGGCCGTCGAGCTCGGGAGAGGCTGAGCATGGCCGTTACTAGCACGCAACATCTTTGTTCTTGTCCATTTCTTTAGGCCTCTGGAAAGATTATGTTCGACCACGCAGGCTTCACAAGGGAAACACAATGCAGTTTTCCTTCCTTGAGGCATACTGTTCCACTCGAAACAAGCACAAAGCAGCATGTACCTTGAGGCAAACGTCCAACTAATTGGCTGACTCCCTCCTAGAAGGAGTAGAGTGGATGAGCTGAAATAATTTTCTTTGTTGATCATGGCAACTTGGCGGTGGATGCGACCTCGCGGCGAGCTCCGACCGCCCGCAACGTGCCTCCACACACGTTGAACACTTCTAGCTGGATCCAGTAGGGCATGGCCAGCCTTCTGCCGGAGTTGACCTTTCGGCGATACCCAAACCCAAGCCGGAGCATTTCGTCAACTGTTAGCAATTTGAACTTGCGTTTCTTCTCTCCTAACGCACACGGTACACGTACGTAGTGACACGCCGACACATCCAAATCGCGGACCATCTCGAAATTCCCGTGTCACTCTACCGATGGCGACGATCCTACGCGCAACAGGACACGAGCTGCCGCCTACCGGCGCTCTGCCGGCCGGCCGGCCCAAGGCTTTTCGAATTTTGACCCTTGAATCCTTTCTTCTTCTTCTTTTGATTTGAGGGGTTTTGACCCCTTGAATCCTGAGCCGACACGACAGTTCGGCAGCCTCCACTCCCCTGGCTTAGCAACCAGAAAGGGCAACGTGCCTGCCCACGAAGACGACGACGACGAGGAGCGCAAAGTGCAAATCGCAGGTCACACTGGCCTTCCACACGATGGAGAATACTACCAACACAAAGATTTCGCGCAGGTGCGAGGAACGGGGTCGGGTCAGGCACCGGAAACCCGATTCACGTGCGCGTTCTGCTCGTCTCCCGTTAATTAACCGGCGGCGACCGCTTTTGCCTCGGCCAGGATATGATTTTCTACGGAGCACTCAGCGCGAGCACAGAATCGCACAGAGAACAAACTTCTCACCTTTACGCCTCCCTCAACTCAGCCCCTACACAAAAAACTTGCTGGCTTTGGCCGGTCGACATGCCGCGTGCATGCATGTAGGCGCGCACGCATGACGACGGTGGGTTGTTGATAAGATTATGAGTCGTCTGCCTGGTTTGTAGTATCTCTTTAGCCTAAGCCATGTTCTGTTTGACCTCACGTTCCTGGCTGGTCAATGTAAACGGGCCGGGGAGTGCGAGTGAAGGACGATGGCGCCGACAGCTCTAGGCAGCAGCCATTGACGATCGGCTTTTGGTCTTTTCCTTCACTTCTTTCAAACCCGCTCATGAGCAACGTTCAACCCGGCTGAGGTAGCTAATGACTATATTTCCTTTTGTGAGAGAGAGTCATTACTGCTCCCTCCGATCCAGGTTACTTATCGCTCAAATGGATGTGTCTAGACATATTTTAGTACTAGATACATCCGTTTGCGCGACGGGTAGTAAGGGCCGGAGGGAGTAGTTCTTAACAACGGACCTATGTGCGGCTTTAGTGGGTTGTTGTTGTATCAGGCTTACGTCAATGGAGATTTTCCCAACTCTTTGGGGGGTGACAAAAGGACTAAAATGTTATTCACAATGGATTACAAGCGAATGCAATGCTAGGCATTGGATGAGGCGCACAAATCTCAATGAAGGGGAGCGGAGCCAAGTGCATTGCAATTGTTCGTCCGTTTAGACAGCCATGCGAATGAGCCCCCTTAACCCCCTGCTCTTTTTTAGATGAAAGGCATAAAGCCCGACTTCAAATTAATGAAGCCATCAACCGGCTAGGATACATGGTGCTGATTATTAGAAGGCAAAGCTTGGAGAAAAACTGAAAGATTACAAGTGAGATCACACTTCGACAGACCAAAGTGCAAACTTGCCAGAACAAAGCAAACAAGACCAAGCCGTCGGAGGTACTTCGCAGACCAGAACAACGAATACAGAGACATCCACAGGGCACCGAGCAAGCAGTGTACAGGAGGATCGTGCCTGCAGGGAGGAAAACATTGGATGTGCCACAACCCAGACGTGCAAATGCTAGAAGGAGAACCATTCTCCTCTACATCCAAGCCGTCCCACAACACGGGGATGCCATAAACCGGCCAGCGGAGCACGAGCGCGGCAGGGCAGCAACAACTGAAGGATAGCAGGGCACAGCACCACATCTCCACCACGGTCGGAAACCCAAGCAAGCATTGCACCGCAGCCACCACCAACCAAGAACTGCAAGCACCCAACCCAATCCCTACCCCTAGCCGACGCCTCCAAGGAGGACCACGACGATGGAGCGTCGTCGACGACCGGCCAAAGCCTAGATTTTCACCTGGGGAAAAACAGGGGACGGGAGGTGGAGGGAGGGAAACTCAATGCGCCCTGAGGAGGGGATTCGGAGCCGATGCACCACCGTCGTCGAGGTTGATGCGGAATCGACCAGGGGATTCCCCCATTCCAAGCTTCCTCCACCGCACCTCAGGGGCCAGATCTTGCAGCACGGACGCACTGAATCCAGACCGGTAAGAGGATGCAGAGCAGACGGAAGGGGGCGGAGATCCGATCTGGCGGAGCCATCGGAGCAGCCCGCAACAACGAGGCACCTCCGCCGTCCAACCGCCGCCCGCACTGCCGAAGGGACGGCCAGCACCCGCAGCGCCCTCCACCGGAGAGAGCGGCGCCGCCCACCAGATCCAGGGTCGCCGCCCCAGCAACCAGAGCTCCCTGCGCAGATGCAGGGCCGCAGGGCCTCGCCACCACCTTCACGGGGGCCGCACGGCGGCCGGCGGCGCCCTCAGGTGGCGGCGGGGAAGGGGAGGCGAATGAGAGAGGGGGCTCGGGAGGCTAGGGTTTGGTCGCCCCCGAGTCGCCCACTCCGGGCGACGCGAGAGCCGCGGGCCTATCTAACCCCCTGCTCCTCCCCTGCTTGCTCTCCGCATGCAAGCGATTCGCGCAGGGGCTCTCCAGTTTCTTTGGCGGTTTGCACGCCGTCAAATACCGGTGTTGGAATCGCCATTTCCAGCCGATCCATTGCTAGAGGCTTCGAGATACGCTTGCTTGACGCTCTCTCTTGTTTTTGATGAGGGGCATAGGATTCGAGGGGATTGAGCGGTTTCGCCAGACGTTGTGCCCATCTCTTCTCCTTTCACGGCGTGGCGACACGGGGATGGAGGGTTAGAAACGGGCATTGTCGGGACAGATGTGTCTCCCAGGGCTGGCTGCAACTGTTGTCGGTGGTGCCGAGGTTTGGTGTAGCGGCAGAGGCAATGACGCGGCCACGACAACTCCGAGAAGGGGGGCTCATTGCGGGTGTGTGAAGTGGGTTGGCTATGCCAATTTTTGGCCGGCGGTTGTGTGGGTTTTCATGCTAATGTTTGATGAACTTTTTGCCACATTGATGAGTGATATTTTTACACTCATCACGCTTTGTTTAAACTAAGATATTTTAGTTAAACCGAGATATTCGTTCTGCTTATGCTATTAATGACTAATGAATGCATTGGATTATATGAATTCTCTTTTTATTGTGTTTCAAAGAAAACGGGCTAAATATAGGCGAAATCAAGTGAGAACATGGAAAGAAGTGAATGAGGGGATAGAAGAAATTAAGAGTAGGCGCATTAGAAGACGGCGTTCCATGCAACCACGACTGCTCCATGAGCGAGCATATGGTGTGGAAATCGAGACCTCTTGTCCACCTGAACAACTTTTATAAAGGGGTCAAGGCCGAAATGCCAATAGAACATCCGCGAGCGAAGCCAGAACAGAGTCATCCCCATCCATCTCTATCAACCCTAGCCGCCGCCATTCCCATATCCATAGCCAGCATCATCACCATAGTTTATCTTCCACTAGATCATACTTGTAGTCGTGCACCGCACACTTCATTCATTGTAAGACATATTATCAATCAATCAATTCCCATGGCGTGTTCTTCGTGTGATCTGATCATCATGTGTGACTAGTTCGGTAAGGTATGGGTTGAGGCAATAGCCTTGCAACCTTTTGTGTGTTCTGTGGTGATCAATGGAAGTGCTTTGAATTAACGTCACATATGTGTGAAATAAAATTGCTCCATCGATTGTTGCCATATTTTTTCCATAATAGATGGAAAAGTCTAGGGGTGGTTGGGAGGGGGGGTGTTGACTAAGGTTTTCCATGGTATGATGCATTTTCTCAAAATTTCGTACAAATGACAAATACAAAGTGGGCTTGGGGCGATTGTTGCCTGAGATATACCATCAAGACACGACGTTTTTTTTGGTCGTGTTTCATTCAGATGTAAAAATAAAGGGGATTTATCTGAATCTAAAATGTCAGAGAATTT